GGGGGGGGGGGGGGGGAAGGCCAGCCGCGTTCATAGACCAGGCAGGGAAAAGTTGCACCGCCCGTCGCCTTATTTAACTCCCCTTCCTTCTCCCACGGTAGCCAGTTCGGCAAAGGAGACGCTCGCCAGTGTTCCCTCTAAGCTGAATGAGTGCGAGCCAGCTCCCAGTTTCTTAGCCTCCAGCTCACAGGTTTTTGTCTCCGCTCAGGAAGGAGGCCTCCAGAGCAAACTGATTTCTGCAGCAGCCAAATCCCTCGCTCACAACTTTAGAGCCGGCAGCTCACAAAAGTAGAACTCTTGCTCACAGGGCTCCACAGCTCAGAGGGCGCACTGCCTCTCGCCCGTGCCTCGGCTGCGAAAGGATCGCAGGGAGGCCCAGGGATCCGAGAACGGGTCTACTCGGGAGCAATGTTCCCTCTAAGCTGTGGAGTCTTGTGAGCAAAAATTCTCCTTTGTGAGCTGCTGGCATTAAAGTGGTGAGCGAGTGATTTGGCTGCTGCATCAATTAGCTTGCTCTGGAGCCCTCCTTCCTGAGCGGAGACAGAAATGTGTGAGCTGGAGGCTAAAATTTTGTGAGCTAGCTCACACTCACTCAGCTTAGAGGGAACACTGAGTCAACTTTCCCCGACTGCCAGCCAGCCAGCCGGCAACTGCAGCCTGCACGCGCCCCTCCGCCCCCTCCCCAAAGTAGCCCGTAAAGGCGCTCCCTGGAGAAAGGGAGGAGAGAGAGCGCACCCCGGGGTTAAGCCTGCAGGGCGCAGAGCGGGGTGACTCCCCGGGGCAGGCGAGCGAGGCCCCCAAAGCAACAGGTGGGCGGCTGGGCCGGGCGGCGAGAGGCGAGCTGGAGCCCTCTCCCCCAGCAGTGCAGTGCAGTGCAGTGCAGCCCCCTTCCCCGCCTTACCTCCCGAGGCACCCGGGGCAGGCCATTCCGAGGTAGGCGCGGGTCTGCTGCTCCGGAGCGGCGCCAGGGAACGGGGAGCCTCTTCGGGGGGCTCTCTGCAGATCCCCCACCCCCGCCCGCTGCTTTGCAACAGCCCCTCCCCGTTGGTGGCTTCCAGTCCCGGGGCTCCGGCCCGGCTGCCACTCCTCCAGGGGCGCCCTGCAAAGGCGGCGTCCCAGCCCAGCCCAGCCCAGCCCAGGCAGCCGCTGCAGTAGCGCCGCCGCCGCCGCCCCGCTTGCCCAGCCCAGCGGCTCCTCGCTCGGGCGCCAGACGCGGCTAAAAGCCCAGCGAGGCCGGTCACATGAGCGCCGCCGAGAACTCCCAGCTGCCTCGACGGCTCCGCCTCTTAAAGCGCCCGCCCGCCGGGGAGGGAAGCAGGCGGGCAGGCGGGCGCGGGCGGCGCTTGGGGAGGGTGGCGGGCGCCGGCGGAGCCTTCCTCCTCCTCCTCCTCCTCCTCCTCCTCGGAACGGGGCGCGGGCAATCCCGGAGCCCTGCCGGAGAGGCGCGGAGGCCACGATCCATGCGGTGCGCGCTCCTTTCAGAGTCAACCTCGCTGGCTGCGATCCATGCCGACTAGATAATGCCCTTCCAGCCCACTTTTTGTGCACTTTCCTTTTTTTTAAAAAAACGTTTTATTTCTTGACTTTTGTACATCATTAATTCTCTAATATACATACGACTTAAGAGTCATTTATCCATTTTCTATCCACTTATACATTCCCACCCATCGCTTTACAAAAATCTCATCATTCTTCCCTTGTAACATTAAGTTCAGTTTATCTATTTCTGCTACTTCCATCAGTTTCTCTATCACTTCTTCTTGTTTGGGGGGTGTTATCTTGCTTCCAGTACTTTGCCCATAGTATTCTTGCTGCCGTTATTGAATATAAAATTACAAATTTATCATTTCTGAATATATATCCAAAATTTTTGTATTTTGGGACACCGCCACCACATATGATAGAAAGTTCCAACACTTGCTTTACATTTCCAACAAATGTTGGAGCAATTTGGGCACTTTTTGTGCACTTTCCGACTGAATCTTTGCAAACCCAGTTGGAATGTGCGTTAAAAGTGCATTCTCTAGTGTGCGTGATCGACTGAGTAGTTGTCGTTCGGGCGGGTTTTGTGAATTTGCGGCTCCTGGCTTCCTTGGCACCGATTGGACGTCATTTTATTTTATTTTTATTTGGTTAGACTTCTCTCCCGCGCCCTCCCCACAAGGTAGGCTGAGAGCGAGTACCAACATATACCTCTACAATCATGCAGATCTGCAGCTAAACCATTCATAGTTTCCAATTAAGATCTGCAATTGAAGTAGATGTACAGTATAATGCAAATAAAACACATTATAACAACGCGTTTAAAATCGATAAGATCACCATAGACAAAAACCTAGACGAAAATATAGATTTATACCCCGCCTTCCTCCCCAGTGGGGACCCAAAGCGGCTTGCATTGTTCTCTCCTGGGCTTTAATCTCACAACAACCCTGCGAGGTAGAAGGAGAAGAGAAGAGATTGGATTTATACCCCGCCCTTCACTACCCAAAGGTGTCTCAGAGTGGCTTACAAACTCCTTTCCCTTCCCCTCCGCACAACAGGCACCCTGTGAGCAATGTTCCCTCTAAGCTGTGGAGTCTTGTGAGCAAAAAATCTACTTTGTGAGCTACTGGCATTAAAGTTGTGAGTAAGTGATTTGGCTACTGCATAAATTAGTTTGTTTGGAGCCATCCCTCCTGAGCTGAGACAAAAATCTGTGAGTCAGAGGCTAAAAAACTGTGAGCTAGCTCACACTAACTCAGCTTAGAGGGAACACTGCCTGCGAGGTAGGTGGGGCTGAGAGAGCTCTGACAGAAACAGCACTTTTTCAAGAACAGCTCTTATGAGAACTATGGCTTGCCCAAGGTCATCCAGCAGGTACAAGTGGAGTAGTGGGGAATCAAACCCGGTTCTCCCAGATTAGAGTCTGCACACTTAACCACTACACGAAACTGGCTCTCTGCAGGTTAGGCACTGAGAGCGTGACTGACCCAAGGTCACCCTGCAAGCGACCCTCCATGGCATGAGTGGGGATTCGGGTTGGATATTGTAACTCTGGACACAAGAGGATCTGGGAGGGAAAGGGTTGAGAGAATTCTCGGGGGGGGGGGGTACACTGGGCAGTTGCCCCCCTCATGGTTTGATGTTGAGCCTCTCTGGCCCTCGCTTGCCTTCCGTGTTTCATCTTATATGGTACCTGTCTTCTTCTTCTCTCTCCTACCTGGGCTTGGAGCTGTAGCAAGTTAACCTTTTTGGAAGTTAACCTGTTCACAATAAGTTAACTGTACTTACATGAATTTAGTCGTGTAAGATGTGCTTCTGTTTTTGTCAGCAAAATTTCTTTTTCTTCCTACCATTGGAATTAGTTTGGCTTTGTAATTTGTTTGAACAGCACGTTCCCCTTAATCAGAAACATGGAGAATTGGGGCACTGTGTTAAACTTCTGTGCTTTCAAGGCAAATGATTTTTTTTTACATTTAACCCGAAACCCAGGTCTCCCAGATACTAGGCCTATATTCTTAACCACTAAACCACACTGGCTCTGTTTACTCAGTAGCACGTTTACTCAAAAGTAAATCACAAGTCTAATAGGTTTTAGACAGAAGAAGAATAATTATTTATACCCTGCCCTTCACTCGGAGTCTCAGAGCGGCTTACAATCACATTCCCTTCCCCTCGCCACAACAGACACCCTATAAGGCACGTGGGGCTGAGAGAGCTCTGAGAGAACTGCCCTTGAGAGAACAGCTCTGAGAGAACTTCTGACTGACCCAGGGTCACCCAGCTGGCTGCCTGTGGAGGAGTGGGGAATCAAACCCACTTCTCCAAATTAGAGTCCGCCGCTCTTAACCACTACGCCAAACTGGCTCTCAGTAAGCCTGCGGAGGTTTGTAACCACACAGGGGAGTGATGTACCGAAAACACATTGTAAAGGAATTTACTTCTGAATAAACATGCATCCAATTGGTAATTTTGCAGTTTGTGCATTCTTACTCAGGTGTAAGCCTCACTGAAAGCAGTAGGACGTGCTTGTCAGTAAACGTGGCCTGAAACACATGTAGTTGAGATTGTCCCTAGGCCTAGAGCACGTTGGTGTTGACATAAGAACATAAGAACATAAGAGATGCCAATGTTGGATCAGGCCAAAGGCCCATCCAGTCCAACACTCTGTATCACACAGTGGCCAGAAATACCAGTGCCATCAGGAGGTCCACCAGTGGGGCCAGGACATTAGAAGCCATCCCACTGTTGACTCCCCCAAGCACCAAGATGACAGAGCATCACTTGCCCCAGAGTCCCTATCTATACCTTGTGGCTAATAGCCACTGATGGACCTCTGCTCCATATGCTTATCTAATTCCCTTTTGAAGCCGTCCATGCTTGTAGCTGCCACCACTTCCTGTGGCAGTGAATTCCAAGTGTTAATCACTCTTTGGGTGAAGAAGTACTTCCTTTTATCCGTTCTAACCCGACCGCTCTGCAGTTTCATGGAGTGCCCACGGGTTCTTGTATTGTGAGAAAGGGAGAAAAGTACCTCTTTCTCTACCTGCTCTTTCCCATGCATAATCTTATAAACCTCAATCATGTCACCCCTCAGTCGTCGTTTCTCCAAGCTAAAGAGCCCTAAGCGCCTTAACCGTTCCTCATAGGGAAAGTGTTCCAACCCTTTTATCATTCGAGTTGCTCTTTTCTGCACTTTTTCCAAAGCTATAATATCCTTTTTAAGGTGTGGTGACCAGAATTGCACACAGTATTCCAGATGAGGTCGCACCATTGATTTATATAGCGGCATTATGATATTGGCTGATCTGTTTACAATACCCTTCCTAATAATCCCCAGCATAGCATTGGCCTTCTTTATTGCAGTCACACACTGTCTCGACATTTTCAGTGAGTTATCTACTACAACTCCAAGATCTCTCTCTTGATCAGTCTCTGCCAGTTCAGACCCCATCAACGTGTATTTATATTTAGGATTTTTGGCTCCAATGTGCATCACCTTGCACTTGGCCACATTGAACCCCATTTGCCATGTTGACGCCCACTCGCCCAACTTTGACAGATCCCTTTGGAGTGCCTCACAATCCTCACTGGTTTTCACCACCCTGAACAACTTCGTATCATCCGCAAATTTAGCCACTTCACTGCTTACTCCCAACTCCAAATCATTAATGAACAAGTTAAAAAGCAGTGGACCAAGTACTGATCCCTGTGGTACCCCACTGCTTACACCCCTCCACTGGGAGAACTGCCCATTTATACTCACTCTCTGTTTTCTATTAATTAGCCAGTTTTTGATCCATAAAAGGACTTGTCCTTTTATCCCATGATTTTTGAGCTTACTTAGGAGCCTTTGATGAGGAACTTTATCAAAAGCTTTCTGGAAGTCAAGGTAAACAATATCTATTGGATCCCCCTTGTCCACATGTTTGTTCACCCCCTCAAAGAACATTAACAGGTTAGTGAGACAAGATCTTCCCTTACAGAACCCATGTTGAGTCTGCCTCAATAGGTTTTGTTCATCTATGTGCCTACTAATTCTTTCCTTAATAATGGTTTCCACCAATTTACCCGGTATCGACGTCAGACTGACTGGCCTGTAATTTCCCGGATCTCCTCTGGAACCCTTTTTAAAGATGGGAGTGACATTAGCTACCTTCCAGTCCTCAGGAATGGAGGCTGATTTTAAGGAGAGATTACATATTTTTGTCAGGAGATCCACAAGTTCACAATTGAGTTCTTTCAGAACTCTTGGATGTATGCCATCTGGGCCTGGTGATTTATCAGTTTTTAAGTTGTTTATCAGTTTTAGGACCTCCTCTCTCGTCACCTCAATCTGACTCAGGTCTTTCAACACCCCTCCCGAACTCAGCGGCTCTGGAGTGGGCAAGCACCTCTCATCTTCCACAGTGAAGACGGAGGCAAAAAATGCATTTAGCTTCTCAGCCATTTCCCTATCATCCTTCAGTACTCCTTTTACCCCTTGGTCATCCAAGGGCCCCACTGCCTCCCTGGCTGGTTTCCTGTTTCTAATGTATTTGAAGAAAGTTTTATTGTTGGTCTTTACATTTTTTGCTATATGCTCCTCATATTCCCTTTTTGCATGCCTGACCACAGACTTGCATTTTATTTGCCATAGCCTGTGTTCTGTTTTATCAGCCTCACTGTGACTAGCTTTCCACCGCTTAAAGGAATCCTTTTTACCTTTTACAGCTTCCATTACTTTGTTTGTT